TTTAACATATATTTATTAAGCACCTACTATGTGCAAATCTTCATTCTAGGAGATGGAAATCCAGCAAACAACAAAAGAGAAAAAAATGTTATGTTCTCAATGACCTGAAGTTCCAGTGCAGGGAAATAACAAACAAACAAAAAAAAATTAAGCAAAATGCATGCTCATTTAATTGATTGTAAGAGCTATGGAGAAAGTAAAGTAATAAATGTAATGGAATGATGGGATGGAGGGACTGCAATTTTAAAAATGTTGGCCAGAGAAAGCCTCACTGAGAAGACAGATGATTAAAGATGTAAAGGCAACGAGAGAGTTAGCCATGCTAACTTTGGGGAAGGGCTTTCCAAGCAGAGAGAACAGTTTGTGGAAAGAGGCACAAATGTACCTGGCTTAGTGGAAGAACAGCAAGCGGGCCAGGGTGACCGGAGCCAGTGAGTGCACAGAGCCTAGGAGATGAAGTCAGAGAGGCACGCAGGGGTAGGGGCAGAGTGGGAGAAGATCCTGCTGGACTTACCCCGTCAGTGCAAGAACTCTGGCTTTGTTCTGAGTGAGCTGGAAAGCCAATGCACAGATTGAGCACAGAAGAGACATGATAGCTTTACTTTTTCTGAACAGACTCACTCTTGTGCAGTGTTTAAGCACTGACAGAGGAGGAAGGTCCCAAGGGATGAGAGCAGTGAGAAGGCCACCATGAGAATGAAGGTGAGAGTGCTGTGGCTTGGATTAAGGTGGTGACACAGGAGAAGGAGAGAAGTGGTTCACTGCCCAGGATACTCTAAATGAGATCTGAGGGGATTTGCTGACAGAATAGTCATGAATAACTCTGGTCCGAGCAACTGGAAAGATGGTGTCACCATGGACTGAACAGGTTGGGGAAGGATCAGGAGATTGATTTTGGATGAGTTAAGTTTGAGATGTCTGTTAGTGGTCCTACTGTATAGGTCACTTCGTCATCCTGTTTTATTAGTAAAATTCAGAATACTATTTATTAAATAAGCTTGGATGTCTTTATGTAAGGATTTCTAGGAAAATATTTTGTGACCTGAGCTCTCAACGTAAAGTTTAGAACTCTACTGCCATGTACTAATATTTTGTGTTTGTAATTGTCACAGTACACATACATGTTAAAACTTGAACTTGGTTAATTTTCGCAGCAGGCAGGAAATAACAGTTTGAAAATTCGTGAATTATTCTTATTTTGTGCTTAAATCTCAAAGCTATTTTGAAGAGTTTCTTATGTGATTGCAACCTTTAATAAACATGTTTTTTAT